TTGAAAAAAAATGTGTAAGAAAAAAGAAAAATTGAAAAAGGAAAAAGAAGATTAGGGGTTAAAGACCAAGGGGCATAGAGAGATAATAAAATATATTTAATTCTAACATTTTGTCTTTAAAAGTAATTTCACACATGGATATAACTGGAAGAAAAAAATAAATAAAGAAAAATAAAGCTCATATGAAGAGTGTAAAGAGGTAAAGTAGTGGTGTAAGTAGAATTACCCAAGTAAATTTCGTTCACTCCCTTGAGATTTTGTATATATATTATCAAAGACACATACATATTTTAGTATTATTTAATAAAATTCTTAAATTTTATGCAATATTAAATAAAATCCTTAAATTGTTAAGACATTATTAAAACATTTAAGGAAAAAAATTAATTTTTATTGATAAAATACTTTAAAACAAACAATATCGCTAAAATTAATGTTAAATAACATAATAATAATTTAATATAAGACTTATTCCACACTATATAAATAACGTAAAATTTATCATTTAAGTAATGCATTTATTATTTGAATTTTTTTGAAAGACGAAATAATTGAATTTATTTTTTTTTTTCCAGCAATTTGCATTACTTATTTATTCATATATATAAAAAATTATTATTTTATCTTTTTTCAATCATATATTACTCTCAAATTTTTAATTTTTTTTTTAATCTTTGAGTCATTAAATTTCTAGTCGATGCATATTTAAAAAAATGCAAGTTAATATTTCTTACATGATTAAAAAATATTCAAAAAAATAAATATAGAAGTAAAAAAAAAAATTACTTGGTTTCTGACAATTAAATCAAACTCATTCATTATCAATATTAATTTTAACCTTAAATGCACTAAATTTAATTTATCCTATAAAATATATATATAATTATTGTTTATTTTTCATAACTTTTTTAAAATATAAATGTTATTCTTGACTCTATTTTTTTTCACAAGAAGTTTTTAAACTTTTATAAACAAAAAATAAAAAAAATAAAAAAAATTCAATCTTTAATGAAGGTGATGAATTAATTTTAAGATTTAATTTAATGAAAATAGTTTAAATGAGATAAATAAAGATGAAGAAATAGATTTTAAGTATCATATATATTAATTGAGTATTCTATTATTCTCAAATAATTTCTCCATTCAAATAAAGATTAATTTTAATTTTAGCTGCAAGAAATGATAAATTGTTTGAATTGTTTATTATTTTCCAATGATTTTTTGATCTTTCATTCCCTATCACCTAATTTTAACGTATTGTGAGGCAATTAGATTTTTTACTTCTATATTAATTTTTTAATCATGTAAGAAATATTAACCTGTATTTTTTTAAATATTCATCGATTAGAATTTTAATCACTCAAAGATAAAAATTAAAATTTGAGAATAATATATGATTGAGAAAAAATAAAATAATAATTTGTTTTACATATGAATAAATAAGTAATGCAAATTGCAGGGAAAAAAAAGAAATTCATTTACTTCAACTATAAAAAAATTCAAATAATAAATGCATTACTTAAAATGATAAATTTTACGTTATTTATGTAGTGTAGAATAAACCTTATATTAAATTGTTAGGATGTTTTCTAACATTAATTTTAGAAAAATTATTTATTTTTAAGTATTTTATCAATGAAAATTAAGTTTTTTTTCCCCATTAAATGATTTAATAATGTCTTGACAATTTAAGGGTTTTATTTAATATTGCATGAAATTCAAGAATTTTATTAAATAATGTTAAAATATGTAATGGTCTTTGATAATATATATGTAAAACCTTGGTGAAGATGAGTGAAATTTGCCATTTGAATAAATAAGATAACTTATTGGCAATTTCGTTAATTTTGGTATTATAACCTAAGACATCAGCATGATATCAAAAAATTATGTTAAATTGCCTAACAATGAAAAAATCTTGATAATAGTTTCAAAAGTAAGGAAAGTTAGTGTAATTATTGAAACCACAAGAGAAGTTCGTATAACTGTCATAAACCACAAGGGAGGTAAGTGTAATTTACCCTTTAAAAAAAAACAAATAGACATAATTTTTAGTTTTAAATATGTTTGTCTTAAGTTTTTGTCAAATAATAATATTTAAATTCCATTTTAAATCACTTATTTTTATTTTATAATCTCTCAAAAAGGGCAGTGTGAATATTATTATTATTATCATTATTTTAATTTTTTTATGCTAATACATTAGATGATTAAATGAATCATGAATATGACACTTTCAATTTTTTTTGTTCTTTCATATCAAACTTTATTTTTTTTTACTATAAAAATCAAAATTGAATAATATTTCAGCATATGGTTTGGTAAGACCATAAGTCATAAGTTTTATTATTACTTAGATTTTTCAACTCTACATGTTCAATAATTAAAATTTTCATTATTACTATTTAGACTTCATATTAAATTTTTACAATATAATTCAAGCTATTATTAACTTTTCAAGTTCTTAATTAGTCGTAGTGTTCAATAATCTTGAGAAGGTTAATAACTGTGTGGGTAATTTTCTGACCACACTGTCCGCTTAGTAACCAGCTGGAGAGCACCCGCAGAATAGATGGCTTCAGTTAACCTGTAACAGAAAGAAAAGGCTCCGGCGGTGGCTCTTCCACCCGGAGGCACTCCGACGATCAAGTCAGTATATCTCTCAAAGACAATTAAGTGCTAAACTCACTGCTCAAAGCATAAATTGCGTACCTTAAACCCACGGGGGTGCCTCTCTTTTATAGTTACCTCAATCCAAATCCCAATAGAAGCCTGACTTCTATGAATTCTTGTTCAATACTTACCTTGGACTCTTTAAGAGATAAAGATAAACTCTCTAAGAGCTTTATCCTTATCTTGGCTAAATCTCCTCTTTATTCTGGGACTCTTGTCCCTTATCTTTTATCCTCTTATCTCGGATTCCGATATCTTCGGAGATAACCTCGGCCTTGCCGAGATCACTTCGGCGTCACGACCAGGACACGTGGCACCTCGGCTGGGTGACACCTCAGCCACGTGTTCTCATTCAAAAATTATGTCCCCACTACTATCTCTTAGGTTCTATTACCTCGGCATTCTGAGGTGATAGAACCTATATTATTCCGTTTTTCCAGTACGTCGGTTTCCAGTATCTCAGCCGAGATCATTATTTTGGCCGATATCCTTTTATTGAAGAACAAGAACTTCAAGAATCCTTCCATGCGTATGAGCTATCATACACCATAATTCAACCGTTTTTAATCACGCGTTTCTTTCTTACTGGTTCATGCCTGTGGCGCGCCCATAAGTCATCTCTTTCTCACGTGCGCCGTCTGACGTATACGTTCTTCTAGGCGTATTGATTATTTTTTGCCACCATTTTCATTTTTGACAAAACCTTTCCCCCTTTCTTCATTTTTCTACTTTTGCATCTGATTTCTCTTGCTTTTTCTCTCTTTAAACTCTTTCTTTCGAATCCGTCATTGCTCAAGCTCCAAGCTCTGCAATTGTCTTCCGTTCTCCCTTCTTGTGAAGCTTTCGTCGTTCTCGTTACATCTGTAACTGTCGTCTGACTTCGGCAATCTTCATACCGGCTTCACTCTTTTCTGGTAAGCTACTGTTTCTTTCGTTTTTAATTCTGTTGATATTCTTCATTACTTGTTGCCTTTACTGCATCTGTTAAAACTTTTAATTTGCGATTCATACACCTGAATGTGTTCTTCTCATGATTTTGCCCTTGCCCATATCTTGAACACACGCATTGTTTCACTACTTCCCTATATCTTTGTCACTAATCTTGGCCTTGTATTTCTTGTATTCTTTATGCTCTTGATAAACCATCTCTGTTCTTGATTCTGAAATTCCATTCTTGCTTTCTGTTTTTTGTATCTTTTCCAGATCCGTGCCTTTGATCTTCATCTCCATAGTTTTAGGTTTGGGATTTGTTTGTAGAACCCACGATTTAGGGCAAAACTGAAACATTCCTTACAAATTTCTGTACCAGCCCAAACCTAGGTTTTTGCCGAGGTCCCATCAATAAGAAACATCTTCTCTCTGAATTTCCTCCCTTCTAATTCAGGCCGATATTATGGGTATGTGGAGACATAGGGTAGATACTCCGACCAAACTCGAGTACTTTAGGCAAGAGTTCTCCATCCCTGCCGATGTCCATCTGAGGTTGGCTGGGGATGATGACTCCATCATGCCTTCAGAAAACTCCATGCCCTTTCCCATTGTAGCTTTTATTGAGTGCAGACTCCGGCTCCCACTCAACATCCTTTTTCGCGAGATTCTTCACTATTACAATGCAACTGGCAATCAATTCCTATCGAGTGATCTTTGGTGTCATAGCCTTAGCTAAACAGGAAAATGCTAGGATCACCCTAGCCGATATCCAGTATTGCTATACCATGTGTGCCCTTAATTTGAAAGAAAAAGGCTACATTTACTACCTTAAGCCGAGGTCTACCGAATTCAAAATCGTAGCCGACCTCCTAGACTCCAACAAGGGGGCTGGAGATGACTATCTCATTACCTCGGGAAATTGGGAGTTTGCTCCAGACGAGGACATCCATCTCTACCCTCTTCCTCGATCAGTTTTAGAGGGCAAGGGTAAGAGCCTAGTATTCATTTTTGCCTGTTTTTTTTCAAAGTCTTAAATACTTTGTCTGTTTCTGATGTCTGTTCTTCTTGCAGCTGTTCGTCAGCCACCAAAAATTTTTTGCCAATCCTTTGTCCCTAACAAGGACTTGAAGAAACTTCTGGACTTGCCAGTCCATAAAAGGAAAGCGTCTGTGCTTCTCAATTTTATTCCATCATACAAGTCAACTTTGCCCGACGTTCCCAAAAGGAAGAAGAAAAGCCTTTCTCTGCCCTCTACTACAACTCTGTTGATTGCATCCACATCACGAACAGATCAAGGATCAACATCTGATCCAGCTGATCAGCCATTAACTTCGGCTCCATACCTGGTCCCAATATCAAAACGAAAACGTCGGCGACAACTTGTCCTTTCTGCCGAGATGGGTCGCCCTAAGCCTGTTGCAAAAGATCTTCTAGCCAGTATCCCATCATCTGTTGATGAGCAGCCAACACAAACCCTTCCTCCACCGAAGCCAAAAAGAATAAAAAAGGCTCAACCAAAGGCCAAGGCAGCTCAGGTTGAGTCTGAAGACACTCTGCCTATTTCAAAGTTGGCTGAGAGTGATAAATCTTAGCCTTCTGCTGGGAAGAGGCGCTCTGAGTCTCAACCACCAGAATCTCAACAACCAAAAAAGCTGAGGTCTTCTTCTGCAACAACTTCGGGATCAAAAAAGCCCGATGCCCCCCGGGCCCCCACAATTACTTTGGAAGACAAGCTTGTCATGACAAGCGATAGTGCCGATGATATAAACGTCGGCATCGCACTCAGTGCCGCTCTGCTTCTTCCAGGCGATCTGGAGCGAAACGCCCAGTATAGTGAGTATGAGAGCTATGCTCTAATGCTTCAGCATTCCGTTCAGGTAAATGTTTTCTATTTGGTATTTTTCTTCTTTCATTTCCTTTATTTAATACTTTGAGTATTCTCTAACACCTCTGTTTTCTTTCAGGCCATCCAGCATGCACACTATTTCTCAATGCAGTCTTTTGAGAATCGGGAAAGGCTTGTTGAGATGAAGAGGGAGTTCTCTTCCCTCCAAAAGACCAACAAAGGTCTTCAATCGAAGATGAAAAAACTGGAGGACGAAGCCGAGGCTACAATAAAAGCCCAGACTAATGCTGAATAGAAGGCTGAGGTTGCTGAAGCCATCAGGAAAGTGGTTGAGTCTCAGAAGAGAGAAGCAGAGGAAAAAATGGCCCAGGCTGAAAAGGAGTTTCAGGAGGCTCTGGCCACCAAGGACGCCGAAATCAAAGAGGCTAACGAAAAGGCGTACAGTCAAGGTATGGCCGATGTCACTGAGGCCTATGAACTTCAAGTGAAGCAGGCATGCAACAAGGGTTTCACCCTTGGTTGGATGTCTCTTCTGAAAAAACTCAATGTCCCAGAGGACTCACCATATTCTTCTTCCATTCCCTCCACCTCCTCCACCAACTCAGTCCGATGAAGACTCAGAATCTGGAGATGAGGAAGATAATGATGCCTTGGTGAGAAAAGCAAAGGAGGTTACTGCATCCAAGTCCCTTCCTTCAACTGAGCAAGTCCTGGACTTGACTCAAGATGAAGAGGGCGATGTGGTTGTCAAGGAAACTACCCCTGAGCAGGCATCCTCCGACGTTCCTGTAGCCGACAAAAGTATTGATGAATCCCTTGCCCAGATTGATGCAGAACTTGCAATGGAAAAGGCGGCTGAGATGGCTCTTCCAGAATCTTCCGAGGTCCAAACCCAAGTTGCTGTTGATGCTGATGAACCTTAATTTTCATGTTTTTCCTGTTTTGTCATTTGTACTATTTTCTTCTTTTTTTTAGACAATGTAAGCTCTTGTATGGCCGATGTGCCCTTTTCTTGGTGAATGTTGATGCAACTTTTCTTTTCTAAGTGCTTGTACTCTTGTCTTCTCTTCATTGCTTCTGCATGATTATATACTTAGAATTTTTTGCATGTCTTATGTATTCTTCATTCTTTGTGGAATCTTCTCGGGGTGACACACCTCGATTATGTCACCTGACAATTTACTTCGGCAAGTACTTGTCCTGTAAATTGTTTATAAATTTCAACAAGGATAAACATATACTAGTTTAATCTTAACTTTGTAAACTTCTCTTAAGTTATAACAAGTGCCAAACAGGAATCTACTTGTAAATTGCTACAAATTTTCACAAGTATTAAATATTTCAACTTGTAAATTGCTACAAATTTGAACAAGTGTTAAGCATTACTCTGGTTTAACTTCAACTTGTAAATTGCTACAAATTTCAATAAGTGAAGACAAACAATTATCTCGGGTCAACTTCAACTTGTAAATTGCTACAAATTTCAACAAGTGAAGATAAACAATTATCTCAGCTTAATTTCAACTTGTAAATTGCTACAAATTTCAACAAGTAACGATAAATAATTATCTCGGCTTAACTTCAACTTGTAAATTGTTACAAATTTCAACAAGCGTTAAGCATTTTTGTCTTCTCTCTGCCCCCAATGTGAACCTGAGTTCCACTTGGGTTTTCATTATTCAGAAATAACATTATGCTTCTTTTATCAATTCACAAGTCTTTGGAGAACTCTGCTAAAATTTTATTGATGATGTCGGTAAAAAATAACAAGGAACATCTAATGATAGAAAAATTTCAAATTACAAGTGTTCCAGGGTCTTGGCAATGCTTTGCCCTCATTGTTTTCAAGCCGGTATGCTCCATTGCCCAATACCGAAGTGATTCTGTAGGGTCCTTCCCAGTTTGGGCCAAGCTTGCCCTCTCTGGGGTCCTTCTTGTTGCCAATAACTTTTCTAAGGACTAGGTCGCCGACCTGAAAATCCCTTGGATTGACCTTCTTATTGTAAGCTCTAGCAAGCTGTTGCTGGTACGCTGCGAGCTGAATTGCAGCTTTCTCCCTTCTTTCTTCTAAGAGATCCAGATCTCGGGCAAGAAGTATGCCATTAGTTCCATCCTCTACTCCCTGGGTTCTAATCCCTGGGATGCCGATCTCCAGTGGGATGACTGTTTTTGTGCCGTAGGCCATGGCAAAGGGGGTTTCCCCTGTTGATCTTCTCGGCGTAGTCCGATATGCCCAGAGTACATTGGGCAACTCGTCTACCCACTTTCCTTTTGCTGCCTGCAGGCTCTTCTTTATCCCATCCAAAATTACTTTGTTGGATGCTTCCGCTTGCCCATTGCTTTGGGGAAAACTTGGTGTTGAAAAATAATTATTTATTTTGAATTTCGCACAGAAGTTCTTAATGAGTTTGCTGTTAAACTGCGTTCCGTTGTCGGCAACTATTGCTCTTGAAATGCCAAATCTGGTGATGATGTTTCTCCATATGAAGTTCTTGACGTCCACATCTCAGATTTTGGCAAGAGGTTCTGCTTCTATCCACTTCGTGAAGTAATCTGTTGCTACCAGCAAGTACTTCCTTTGCTCAGTTGCTTGGGGCAACTGCCCAATGAGATCCATGCCCCATTGGGCAAATGGCCATGGACTAGATACAGGGTTCAGGTCAGCAGCTGGCTGGTGTATCAAAGGTGCAAACCTTTGGCATTGTTCACACTTCTTCACGTAGGCTTCTGCATCTTTTTGTATGTAGGGCCACCAATACCCCTGGGTAATGGCCCTGTGAGCTAGTGATCTGTCCCCAGCGTGGCTTCCACAAAACCCTTCATGAATTTTATATAGAAAATCTTCATTCTGCAAAGGGTGTATGCACCTTAAAAAGGGTCCAGTGAAGGACCTTCTGTAGAGATGTCCGTCCGCTGTCAGATTGAATCTTGCCGACTTCAATCTGACCTTGTGTGCTTCCTTATGGTCTTCTGGCAGCTTTCCCTCTTTTAGGAATGCAAAAATCGCATCCATCCAGCTTGGTCCCAAGTCCACACACATTGCTTCTTGTTCTGTGATTGGTGGTTCTATGCTCAGGTTTGATAAATAGTCAACCATTGTTGTCCTTGTTTTTCCAGTTTGTATTGAACTTGCCAAGTTGGTCAATACGTTGGCGTGGCTGTTATCATCTCGGCTAACTTGCAGAAGTCGGCAGTTGCGAAACAAGGCTGCCAGCCTGATGACTTCCTTTGCGTATGCCGACATCCTCTCATCTCGGGTTGCAAACTCTCCTGTTGTTTGATTTACTATAAGTTGTGAATCACAAAAAATTATTACCTCATCTGCCTCTGCTGCCACTGCCAGCTTTAGTCCTGCAATCAATGCTTCGTATTCTGTCTCATTGTTTGAGGCCTTGAACCTTAATCGAATAGACTATTCCAATATCTCCCCATCAGGAGATATTAACACTACTCCTGCCCCCGCTCCTTGCTGGTTTGAGCTCCCATCGACAAACAGGCGAAAGAAGTCGTCGATGTAAATGCTGCAGGGTCTTAGTTTTTCCTTTCCTTTCCTTGTTCTTTTGCCTTTGGCTGGGCTTCTTCTTGTTTGCTTGGACATCGTTCATCTTGGCTCAACGGAGCCCGATGTTCGATGGATTTCGGCGTGAATTCAGCCACGAAGTCAGTCAAAACTTGGCCTTTAATTGCCGTTCTCGACCTGAACTCTAGGTCGTACTGGCCCAAGGCCACTGCCCATCTTGCTATTCTTCCAGTTAAGTCTCCTTGTTGTAACAAGGACTTCAGTGGGTGCTCTGTTAGCACTATAATCTTGTGCGCTTGAAAGTAATGGTTCAGCTTCTTTGAAGCCATTACTAAGGCCAGCATTAATTTCTCTAGTGGTAGGTACCTTATTTCTGCATCGGCCAAGGTTTTGCTTACATAATAAACAGCCTTTTGATCCCCCTTTTCCTCTCGGATTAGCACTGCACTTACTGCGTGTTCTGAAACTGCCAAATACAAAAACAGTTCTTCTCTAGGTTCAGGTGTTGAGAGGACTGGAGATGTGGTCAGACACTTTTTTAGGTCGGCCAAAGCAGCCTCACATTCCTCAGTCCGTAGGAAGTCCGTTGCCCTCTTCACCAGGTTGAAGAAAAGTTTACATTTGTCTGAGCTTCTACTGATGAATCTGTTTAAGGCTGCGGCCCTTCCAGTTAGCATCTGCACCTGTTTGGCCGACGTTGGGCTCTTCAACTCGAGGATGGCCTTGATCTGATCTGGGCTGGCCTCGATGCCCTTTCTTGTTACTAGGTACCCCAAAAACTTACCTGATCCAACTCCAAATGCGCACTTCGATGCGTTGAGTCGGAGCTGGTATGTTTTGAGAATATCAAAGACCTCTTTTAGGTTGGCAAAATGACTCTTAGGTTCCTTGGTCTTTACGACCATGTCATCGATGTAGATCTCTACTGTTTGGCCAATCAGGTGTTTGAACATCTTGATTACCAGCCTTTGATAAGTTGCTCCTGTGTTTTTCAACCCAAAAGGCATTACCTTGTAATAATACAGCCCTTTCGGGGTGATAAACGTTGTCTTCTCCTCATCTGGGGGGGTACATGGCTATCTGGTGGTATCCCCTGTAAGCATCCAGGAAGCTCATCCTTCCATGTCCAGATGTGGCGTCTACCAACTGGTCAATCTTGGGTAGAGGAAAGCTGTCCTTGGGACAAGCTTTGTTCAAGCTTGTAAAATCTATGTAGACCCCCCATTTACCGTTCTTCTTCTTTACCACCACTGTATTGGATAACTATGTTGGGTAGTGTACTTCTCTAATGGCCCTGGCCTCCAGAAGTCTGTCTACTTCTTCTTCTACTGCTTCGACGTGTATCAACGTCGGTCTTCTGGCTCGCTGAATTACAGGTTTGGCTGACCTGTCAACATTTAGTTCATGGCAAGTGACCTCGGGGTCAATGCCAGGCATTTCGTAAGGTGTCCAAGCGAATACCTCCATATTTGCTCTCAAAAATGTTTCCAACTCTTTTTCCTCTTCTTCGGCTAAGCCTAAGCCGAGAAGAAAGAAGCGTTCTTCATCTCCATCCTGGACGAGGATCTTCTTTAGCGCCTCTTCGCTCTTCTCGGCTGGTTCTTTGCCGACGTCTTCTAGGACTTCCACGTCTTCATCTTCAATTTCTGCCTTCTCTGGCTCTCGCACGTTGCAGGTAGATTTCATTGCTGCCATAGAGCAATTCTTCGCCTGCAGTTGATCTCCTCTGACTTCTTCAATCCCATGCTCTATTGGGAACCGTAGTAGTTGATGCAACGTTGAGGGAACTGCCCCCATTGCATGCAACCATGGCCTTTCCAAGATGATGTTGTATGGCGAGGGCGTGTTAATCACCATGAATTCTGTCTTGATCTTTTTAATGCCGGCTTGTACTTCCAAGCTTGTTGCGCCCAGTGGCCACGTCGGAGTTCCATTGAAGCCGACCATCGGGCTATTGGATTGCTCCAAGTCATCAGGATAAAGGCCTAGCTCCTTGTAACATCTAACATACATGATGTCGCAAGAGCTACCTTGCTCAATCAGGATGTGTTTCACTTGGCACTCCCCAACCTGGAGGGATACTACTAAGGCATCATTATGTGGATGCTGGACCATCTCTAGGTCGGCTTTTGTAAAAGCTATTATCGGTCCCTGGCATTTTTCAGGCCGAGGTCTTTTATGTCCGACGTGGTTTACGTGCTGTAGGTGTTTCACCTTCTGGGTCTCCCATCGTATGTCGTTTTCGTTCACTTTTGAGTGAATTACATTAACCACCCGTGGTCCTCCTACCTGTGGTTGCTGTGCTGGGGGAGGCGGAGCTGCTGGTGCTTGAGGCAATCTTGCCTGTTCTTCCCTTGTCCTGGCCTCATCAACAAGGTCCCTCAGAAGGCCTTGCCTCACCAA